ATTCTTCTACTCTGCTTTGTCTGTCTCTCTCACTGTCTAGCACACTTATATACGATAATACCGCCTGTTCTAGAATCTTCGTAACACACTAGCGAATCTTCTAGAATACTCGTCACGTGACCCCCACTGTCGTAACACTGCCCCTTCTTTAGTATTGTTCATCCCGATCAATAGCCAATTACATTAAATCAATAAACAATTAACAATAACTTAATTAAATGTACAGAATTTACAAACACAAAATCAAAATTCAACAAAGACTTTTAATTTTACCTGGACGTATCTTCTTTCGTACTGGTCTCCATCTCGTTGGCTTCTGCTTCAAGTGTGGTTTGTCTGCTTCATCAGGAAATGTCCTATCATTGGTAACAGTCACATCAGTGGTAGTAACTTCATCAAGAGCTTCACCATTTCCCTTCTCAAACCTGAGTAGAGTTTCTTCTTCGACAGTGGCTTCTTCAGGTGGCACATCTTCAGCAGCGTCATTTGTTCTGTTGTCCACTTCGTCCCAACTGAAATGTCCTGGACCGTGATAACGCCAAAGCCTGTTGGCATGCACCACTTTTGGCTTACCTCGCCGACCACATTTTACCCGGAAAGTCACGTCTGAGAGACAATCCACTATGTCATATGGGCCTTCCCATGGAGAAGACAACTTAGGAGACTTCCCTTTGGTCTTCTTGGGATTATACAACCACACCTTGTCTCGTGGTTCAAAGCTGACTTCAGTAGATCTCTTATCATAAGTAAACTTCATCGAATCAGCAGACGTTTTCAAGTTTGAATGCACTTGATGGTGAATATCATCCATCCTTTCAGATAACACTTTCACAAACTCTGACACATTTTCAGGCAACTCTACATGAGGTGGGCGTCCTGTTAACAGATCCACTGGCAACCAGTGGCTTCATGCTCTAATTTATTATCTATACCTGGTTCCATTTCACCATCATCAACTCCTTCAGTCACTTTGACTTCAGCTTGATGACACCTAATTAGTT